TCAGAGCCCCTCGGCCCCGCGGCCCCTCGCCCCCCTCAGGGATTCAAGCAGGAGTACCACGACCCTCTCTACGAGCACGGCGGCCCTGGCCTGCCCGGCCCCCCCGGCCACGGCTTCCAGCCCCCCATGGGCATCAAGCAGGAGCCCCGGGACTACTGCATCGACTCAGGTGGGTGCAGGGCTGAGCCCTGGGTGCTGTGTCACCCTGGAGCTGCTGCGGTGCTGGGATGCTCCTTTGCCTTTTCTTTCCTCTTTGCTCCTCCCTTTCGAAAGCTGGGGCTAGAACAGGCGTTCACCTGATGCTGTGTGGCATGGTTGGTGCCATATAGCTGTGGGCTGGGGTGCCCCATGGCACCTGGAGGGTGCTCCTGCAGCCCTGGCCAGGGGCCAGCTGTGATTTCTGGCTGCTGGACCTCACCAGCATCACAGAAAAATCCTCTTAATCGCCTTAGGACCTAAAAATACCCCAACCTCAGGGTGAAAGGTGGCACGGCTGAGCAGATGGCAGGGGAGGCGTGGCAGTGCCTCCCTCCCCACAGAGCCTGAGTGATATGGTGAAAACACTAACTGACTTCGCCCTTGCTCCAGTGTTCATTCCAGTGCCCCCCAAATCATACTGGTTATTTCCGCAGTGTTGAGGGTGGGTGCAGTGACCCAGGGAGCATGGGGAGGGGGGAAGGTGCCTGGAGTTTCTTGCAGGGTGTGCTTAGGGTAGGGGATATGCTGCCCAGTGCTCGGTGGGACCCGTGGGGTTTACATCCTTAACGTGACCTTTGTCTCCTTTGCAGAAGTGCCTAACTGCCAGTCCTCGTACCTGCGGGGGAATGTCTTCCCCAGCAGCCATGATGGTGAGTGACCCTGCTCTCCCCTGTCCATGGCATCCCTGGCAGGTCCTGTCCCTCCCTCGGGGCAGGCAGTCCTCCCTGGTGTAGCTGGCAGAGCTGTGGGCAACCCAGAACCACCCTCACGAGCACTGTGGTGCCTGTGAGAGCTGCATGCACTGGCAGCAGTGCTGAAAGCAGCCAGCAGCCCTGCGAGCATGCTGGGAGGGCACGGCAGCGCCGTGTAATCCGGGATAATGCGCCTGATATAGCTGCTAAGAGGGTTTTGGTTCCCCCAGCTCCCCGTGGGGAGGGGGGCAGAGCTGCGCAGGGCTCAGCGACTGAAATAGCTGGGGATGGGGCTGCTCCCTGAGCTGGGACAGGGTCCTCTGCTGGGATGGGCCGAGTCAGGGGTTTTTGGGTCCAGCCAGGCACCCTGTGCTCACCGAAGGTGTTTTCTCCATAGGATTTTCATATGAGAAGGACACACGATTGTATTTTGATGACACGTGCGTGGTACCAGAGAGGCTGGAGGGTAAGAATCTGGCCCCAGAGGAGGCCCTGGTGAGGGCACCAAGACTCATGGAGGGAGGTGTGGGGATGCTGAGGTCTGCAATGTCTGACTTTTAAAGCCAAGCAGTGCTGACACGGTGCTCTTGGGAGCTGCAAAGCATCATCCTGCATGGCAGCTTGGCGTCACCACCAATGCCCATCTCCCCCCCGCCACCTATCTGCCTGCAGTACTTACCCCGGCGTGTCTCCCCTCTCCCACCCCACGGCCACATCCTGCTCCGTCAGGCTGGCACAGGGGTGACCCCAGTGGTGCTGTATGTGTCTCTTGCTGGTGGCACGGCCCAGAAGAGGGGCAGACCTGGTATGTTTAACCAGGAGTCTCCGTGTGGGCAGGTAAAGTGAAGCAGGAGCCCACCCTGTACCGCGAGGGTCCTCCCTACCAGCGGCGTGGGTCCCTGCAGCTCTGGCAGTTCCTGGTCACCCTCCTGGACGACCCTGCCAATGCCCACTTCATCGCCTGGACTGGACGGGGCATGGAGTTCAAGCTGATTGAGCCTGAGGAGGTATGGGGGGTCCTGCCCTGGAGCTGGGGAGCGGCTGTGGAGTGATCCTCGGGGGGATGCAGGAGGGGGCTGGATCCTTGCCATGCAGCAGCACATTCGTGCTCACACTTGACACGAGATGTGTCTTTACTCTCCAGGCAGCTGTAGAAATTTGCCTTCAATCTCTTCCACCGTCTCTTGGCGCAGCACGTGCTGGCCCACAGGGTGGTCACCAGCCACCGGTGGTGTCTGGGACAGCCTTGCTGAGACCTGCTGCTCTGCTGGGGCTGCCTCCTCACCAAACCGCTCCCGTTCTTCCTCCTCCCCAAACTCTCTGGTTGTCCACCCCACGCTCCCAGCAGCAGCTCCGTGCTGCCATGCAGCTCCGCAGGAGGGTGGCACAGAGGAGGAAGCTGTTTGGGGTGTAATTGAAAGCAGCTGTAGTGCCGAGCTGTGCATTGTGGGTAATTACCCATAATATCTCTTGTGCCGTGCATGGAAATTGTGGGTTTCTGAGGCAGCTTTTTTGGCAGGCTCCCCCTAATCAAATGGCTTTTGATTCAGGCCCCGGTTTGGTGG